GGCTGATGCGCCAATCATTCAAATGGAAGCCGACCACCTGCGCGAAACCCACAAACTCCGCAACATCAAGAAAGACTTCAAGCAATCACCTGAGGCTGCAAAAGGCTGATGCGCCTTCTTTTAGCAGCAAACAATCAAGCCACCAGACGAAACGAAACAATAAAAAGCTACCTTCAATTGGGCTTAAGCATCAACCGATATGGACCCTGCTTGCCCCAAGATGAAACATAATCATTTACAAAACAGCTTCCTCCGACGGACCAATTCTGGGTCCGGAAAACATTCTCAAAACCGGCTTCGCGCAAAAGGGCCTCCCTAGCAATTTGGAACCAAATGGAACCAGTTTGTGCATGGAAGAGCTTGGAGATGGATTTTCTTGTTTTTGTGATTTTTGGTGTTTTTGGATGTTGTTTGACCCATGTCTTAGGAACTTCATGTTGTGAATTTATTTGGTAGGAGTTTTGTAGGTTATTTGTGAGTTTGAGCTGAAGACGTTTTATTTGGAGAAGCTGGAAGAACGTTTTTGAAGCTTGAGAACTCTTTTGAAGTAGTTTGAGAAGTTTGAGAACGTTTGAGTGTCACTGCGTTTTACTCTGCACGACTCTTCTAAGAAGAAGAGTGACTGAGCTGTCAAACCTGTGTGGTTTGGCTCAAGTCCGAGCTGTGAAAAAGAGTTGCCACGCCGCTCTCGTGTTTTCACATGGTAGCGGAGCCCCAGTGACCTGAGGGTGAGGGGCAGACGCTAAGAGAGGTTGCTGTGATCTGTGAAAGATCGACACTGGTCAGTTGAGAAGGTTTTAGAAGAGATCTTAAGAGATCTGACCTTGTGAAGATGAGTGGGCCTGCGCCAATGAGTCCAAGTACGTCACCAGACAGCACTGTGAACCCAGGAGGTTCTGCAAGTGCGCCTGCAGGGATGGTTTCTGGAGATGGGGGCCATCTGAACACAGGAACGACCCCTGTGTACAACATGGCAGGGCCACAAGGCCCACCTCTGGTGTTGGGACCTGGAGCGAGTTCAAGTTCAGATCGATTGCAAGCATCTGGAATGGGTTGTGACCCATTGCAAGGGCCTGGAGACCCATGGGCAACAACGACACCATGGATCAGTTTTTCACCAGGTACCAGTCCTGCTGTTTTGCCAGGAAGCCACTCCAGTGGCAGCACAGGAACCTGGCAAACTGGAAACAGTGGACAGAGTGGCACCTCAGCTGCCACGTTTGGAATGCCACCAGGGTTTTTAGATTCTGGTTTTTCTGGCCATGGGGGCCCAGCACAGGCATCCACCACTGTCACAGCAGTAGACCCAATGATGGCACATTCCTGCGCCAACAGATGTTGCTAACCCAAGGGGTTATAGATCTTCTATACCGTACAGGTCCTGGACTTCAACAACAACCAGTGCAGCAGACACCAACAGTAGCACAGAACTCTACAAGCCAGTCTGAGAGGTTGACAATGGACACAAAGTGGATTCCAGCAGCACCACTGCCTAACTGGAAGTCTTGGAACAGCAGAGCAAAAGAGTTGGCTGGTTTCAAGGGTTGGTTAGAGAAGTTTGCATCGTGGCTGTGTCTTGTCCACGACAGCTATGCGACAGAGCTCAAGGAGGCTATGATCTTGCCATACCCTGTGGTGACAGTGAGTCAAGACCAAGCAATTCGAAGCCGAATTGGATTGTTTCATTTACTTTAGCAGAGTTTTTCTGGATACTCTAGAGTAGACTTAGACAACGTGGTGAAATCTCAGATTGCATTCTATGGCATTCAGGAGGCAAATGGTTTTGAGCTTTTGAGATTGCTGCGCAGAGAGTTCAGTTTGATGAGCCGTCCAGAGACGCTGCAATACAGAGAAGCCTGCCTGAAGTACACTGTGAAGAAGTCAGAGAGGCATCTTCTTATGGATGTACTGAGAGAGATTCGGGCTGAGATCGAAGGATTTCACTCTATGCTGGAAGCTTCACTGATCGCTGGTCAACTGACTGACTTGCGCATCAATGAGGGGATCCGGGATCAATACCTTCTCTACCTTCGAAACTTGCCAGACAAGGTAGCAGAGTTTGTGCAGCTTCGCTGTGGTGCAACAAAAGTGGCCAGAGTTTGGGAGTCTGTGGTGGCATACCACACCAGAATGAGACTCACAAATGACCTGGACAGCAGGGTGCATGTGGCTACAGGGCCAAAGCAAGGCTCTGAGGGCATCACTTGTCACAACTGTGGCAAAAGAGGACACATAGCTCGTGAATGCCCACAGCCTGTGAAATGCAGTCACTGCGGCAAGTCAGGTCATGCAGCTAAGGACTGCTGGGCCAAGGATCCTAGCAAACGACCTGGAGCTTCCTCAACACCCAAGCCTGGTGCAAAGGCCAAGGCAAAGCCTGCTGCAAAGAGCAAAGGCAGCAAAGGCCGTGGCAAAGGTCGAGGGAAAGGAGGAAAGCTTAGAGAAGTTGAAGAAGGAACCAGAAGGTGAGCAGGAGGGTGAAACCAGGCTGCTATGGTAGTAAAATCCTTTGCAGTGAAGACTGGATCAGATGCTGGTGGGCCAAAGGGGGCCACAGGGACATCGAGTACTGAGAGACCGGTGACACACCACCTGAGCAGCACACTGGAGGTTTTGTAGGTAGTGTAGGGGTAGGAGATCCTAAGACCTGCTGGCTGGTAGACTCAGGGGCTACATGCCACATCGTTTCTGAGAAGTGGGTCAAGCACTACCGTACCTTGAAGCTTGAAGGGTGCAGGAGACAATGTTCTGCCTGTCAAAGGGGTTGTAGATCTGGAATTCAACGTAGGCAAGACGAAGATTACCATGAAGCGTGTAGTAGTGGTAGGAATTCCTTTGAATGTGATCTCAAGTTACGCCCTTTTGGAAACTGGTTGGAAGACAGTCCTTGGCAATGCTGAGGAGAGTGGATTGTTTTTGAAGAAATTGAAACTTCCTTTGAAGATTTCTGAGAGAGCATGGTGGCTGAAAGTCAGTTTGCTTTCAAAGCACAAGAGTGGTGTGAAGGGTTCTGGGCCAGCACCGATGGACTTGAGCACCATGAACACTGGAAACGCTGTGAACACTGACAGCACTGAAACGAAACAAACCAAACCAAACACTTTTTGTGGTTGTAGTTCAGTTGCAGCAGTTGTCCCTGAGGATGTTGTGGCTAAGGACCTGGTAACTAAGGAACTAAGGACTCTTTGACTAAGGACCCTGTGAATCATGTTGCCACTCAGGAGGTTGCGCAGGTCACCAAGGGTAGGTCAGGAGGTTCTGTCAGGGTCAAGGCCAAACGTCGGGAGCTTCAGATGAAGAGTGCAGACATGTTGCAGTCGTTTTCCTATGTTTGTAGGATGTTTCATTTTGGAAGCAGTCGCCTTTTTCAGCATGTTTTGGATGATCATGAGCCCCATACCGTTGAAACAGAGGTTTTGTTTAAGACAAACGTTGAAACAAACGATGAAACGACAGACAGTGAAGATGATTTCATGTCATGTTGTGAGTTTGAAACGACAGACAGTGATGATGATTACATGTCTTGTTGTGGTTTTTGTCAAGGTGATCATGGCACATCTAGACACATGGATTGGGAATACCATGGTGTGAGGACAGGTTCAGGTCAATCTGATCGGAAATGCAGGTGTGACTGGACGTTTGTGGACCCTTATTTCAGGATGATGCGTGGTTTTCCTCGGGTGGAGGACTTGACAGGTGAGGACAATGCCGTAGGTGATAGTTTTCAGAGACCTCAGGCAGATGAAGTATCTGAAGTTGACTCCCCATCACTTGCCAATTCAAAAGATTTGGAGGGTTGGGGTCCCCATGAACCTGGTTTGCCAGAACGCCCAGACACACCAGATGGTCCAAAGGGATCAGATCTGGAGCCAGAGCCCAAACACAACCAAAAACAGCACAGTCACCACTGCATCGGCGGAAGATCCCCGATGCCAAAACATTTTGCAAGAAAAATTAATTCAACCCCGGTGCAAAGTCACCGTATCGCAGTATGGCCGTGACAGCACTGCACTCCTATAGAAACCCAGCTGTACACGGTAGACGTAAAGCCTCTCACCCTTATTCCAGAAGAGGTCGTGAAAGAACACCAATGACAAAGTGTTTGCGGAAAACCGCCACGTAGCCAAAGACTGACTGGTGTCACGCATGGAGCATCCTTGGGCAAAGTCCAGTCGGGTTGCCTGGAGCAGCTGCCCTACTTCGCACACCTAAGTTGCGTCTGCATCTCCCAAAAAGATCTGAATCTAGCGGTCAGTCAAACCCTCTCTTCCAGTGAAAATGCTGTCCGTTGGACAAATAGGATATACGCAAGGTGGACACAATCGTGGGTCCAAAAGCTTCACCAAACAGGAATCTATGCTCGGATACAAATTCCTGATGCTTTTGACGCTTCTGATATGCAGTCCCACCTGTGACTGCGGCTGCATGCGAAACCTTCCCTCCTGAACGATCAGTAGGTTGTTATGCTTCTGGGCTTGTGCGAGCGCAGCGAGCTGCTCGCTACACAATGCCGCTCTTTGAGTCAGACTGCTACTGTGGATTTTGGACCGCCTCCCCAATTACGGGACGATCAAGCTTCAACTTGAAGTAAACGCCTCAACAGGTTTGCCACAATAAAGATGTTGCACGGGGATCCAAAACTGGACCTTCCACAGATTGAATCCGGTGCCTCCTTGGTCCAGTTGTAACGGCACCTCCTTGGATATAGATGGCCTTTCTCAAAAAACTTGTTGCTGCCAAGATCACAGCCTCCATTGAAAGCGAAACAGATGTCTGCGACCTGGAGTGGCTGGATTTAAGTAGGAGTTCAAAACGATAAAGTCAATTGTGCTCCTTCTGCTCGGCGAAGCAAAGCATTTGTGAACAATATTCCTTGGACAGGAGAGGCTATGATGCGTCGCTAGTGGTTTGGTGGTGGATTGCATTTCGATTTCGACCATGAAAAAGCTTGCAGGCTTGAGCACCAAAGCTTTGTTGAGAGAGAGAGAAGAAAATTTCTCATGAGGTGCATTGGATTGGTGAGTGAAAGGTGTGAAGATGAAGCGGAAGTCCCTTACCAAAGGAAGAAGAAACAGTTGGTGAAGTTGCTGGTTAACATGATCATGGCAGCTAACTTGCGTGGTGGTGAAGCTCGTCCTATGTCATGGACAAGTTCGACGAACTCAGATGGACCTACAGATGAAGGATGCCAATCGATGAGAAGATCCCTGAACTTTGCCATAGTGGTGATCCTATGCATGGCGATGGTGATGGCTTTGATGTTCTACAAGTTGAAGAAGAAGGTGGAAGAATTCACAATCCACAAAACAATGTTGGAGCAGGGCCGAGGAATGATGATGGCTGATCGTTTTCGTCAGGGAGGTCCATACTATTAAGAGATGGATGGCAACCACTCTGAAAACATTGGAGAAGAAGTGTGAAGGAGATATGGGAACTCCAAGTACATCGCCAAGAAGGGAATCAGCTGGCAGTCATGAAGGTGATGATGAAATGACTTTGTTTCGGCACAGTTTCTTCCTTGGTGAAGGGGAACATGGTGCCGCAGCTGGTGAAGGTCTAAATGTACCTGAAGGTGGAGATGGTGGTGAGTGGAGAAGACGATGATGAAGAATCCATTGAGGAGGAAGAGAAACCTGAACAACGATACCAGAGATATATCCAAGCAGCTATGGATGAGGTGAGCGATCCTGATGACTGGTGCAACGTTCATCATGGGTTTGCCACGAGAGATGATGATCCTGAGAAGGTGGGGACACTATGAGAGCAAGGCCAAGGGAAGCCGCTGATGATGGAGGTGAACGACAACCAAAGGCACTGCCAAAGCCACTGGCTAGACAAGTGGAAAGCAAAATTGCGACGGAAACAGCTATGAGGATGGCTGAGGATCGAGAAGCAAGTGGGGTTGAACCCTCGAGCTCCACACAACCGCCTATGCTTGGGATCATGACCGATCATATTTATTTTCTCAGCGCTGTGCCGGTTGCACAATTCTTTGGCATCATGCTTGTTCCTCGAGCCCCTGTTGCTTTCGAAAATTACAGATGGGATCAGATCATGCAAGGCGCAGGTCCAGAGAGTTTGGTGGTGCAAAATTGCCGCAATTTGTTGAAACTTTATTTCAGCAGAAATTGATCCGGTTGAGCAACAATGTTTCCAATGCCTCTCGGTAAATACGCAGAATCTCTTGGTGAAGTTTCAGAGTGGACGAATTGAACTTGGGATAGAAACGGCAGAACAGGTGAAGTTGGCTGAATGATGATAGCAACGTTGATTTTTTCAAGGAGGCAGACACAGAGGTTGATAGCCCAAGGAGTTTTGCTGAAGAAAGTAAGGAGCAAAAATCAAACGATGCAAACTGTTTTCGCTTGTGCAGTGTAGGCAACAGTTGCATTCCATGTCACATAGATCAAGTGTAGTATCAGTTCTTATCTTGAGGCGCTTTCCTCTCAAGGAAAATACGCATGGTAGCGGAGCTGTGATCCACACCTGCGGGTTGGTGAGCTCCTGCGCTGCCTGAGCAAGCCAGGACCCAAGCTTGCCAGGCAGAACTACTTGGGACAGGACCCATATCCCACGAGGGTTTAGCGCGATAGCTTTTCCTTGCTGTTTCTGCACTCTGGCATTTGAACCTGTTTGGTTACAGCTGCTGCACGGACTTTACAGTTTGGACTGGGGCCACGGTACAACAATTTGGATTTTTCTGGAGTGATTGGTCGTTAACATTTGACTGGTGCTTTTGGCAGTTTCATGGCGACATTAGACGCAGCTGCAGCTGGTGCTCTGCTGCAGTCTGTCCAACAAGCTGCCCAAGCAGCTGCGCAGGCAGCTCTAGCACTGAAGGAATCAAATGAACGACGTGGCAACAACTTTGGCTTCAGTGAAGCTACAAAGGTGGTCCAGTGCCCGAAGGAGTTCGGCAGTGCAATCTCTTCTGAAGATCAAACATCATGGTCTGATTTTGCATTTGCATTCAAACAATGGCTTTTCTTTGCAGATCCGCTGTATGAGCCCGACATCAAACACGTTGAGGATCATCCAGGTGTTGTGGTGACTTTTCATGAGAGCCCTGCTGGTCTTGCTACACAGGAGCGTGCCAGGAAGTTGTATCTGATTCTTGGCGGCATCCTGAAGCACAGGCCGTTGAAGGTGCTTCGACAAGTTTCAAACAACAATGGTTTGGAGGCGTGGCGACAGTTGGGATCGATTTACATGCCCAAAACAAAGGGCAGGAGCTTGGCGTTGTTGAGCGCCATCATGCAGTTTCCAGTTTTTGGTCGAGACCGCTCCATTCTGGAACAGGTGCAGAATCTGGAACGATTGGCAGATGAGTACACAAAGAGTGCTGGTCACGATGTAGCCCCTGACATTCTCTTGTCGACCCTGGTGCGAGTTTTGCCCAAGGAGATTCAGCGCCACATCCAATTGACGATGGGTGAGGATGCAACCTATGCTCAGGTGCGTGAGCAAGTTTTGGCTCATGAACGCATTGCTTCAACATGGTCACGAGACCGTGTCATGGCTGACATTGGAGCCTCACCTCTTGGCGCTGTGACTTCTTACTCCACAGGAGATTCTGGTGCAGCACCCATGGAGGTGAATCAGATAAAGGGGAAGTCGAAGGGCAAAAGCAAGAATGCATATGGAAAGGCCAAGGGAAAAGGGAAGCCCGTTTTTCCGAAAGGCAAGGGCAAAGGCAAATCAGACAAAGGCAAAGGTAAGAACAGCAATGGAAAAGGCTATGGTGAGAATTCGAAGGGCCAACAGAAAGGCTCATTTTCTGGAAAGGTTGATGCAAACACTTGCAGCTATTGTGGAAAAGCAGGACACTGGCAAAAGGACTGCTACAAGAAGAAGAACGACATGCAGGTACGACAGGTTGAAGAGGCTGATCCCAAGGACACGGCCCACAATTCTGGAACTGCAGGTTCAACAGCGGTTCGAGCCATTCAGATGCTTGAGGCCTCCACGACGAACATGCTTGTCGAGGACCTCACTGTGTTCTCTCAGCCCTCCAGCTCAGACAGTCCATTCAGAGTCAATATGATTGAAGAAGTTTGCAATTGTCATAGTGCAGTTTGTGCAGAGTTTGACATGACATGCACGGATCATGATCAGTGTTGGACGATTTGCCCAGACCTCAGTGCGTGCTGCTGCATTGGTGATTGCTCTACGAGCACATTTCAACATGTTCGAGTTGTGATTGATGAGTTGAGTGATGAGACGTGCGAGTTTTGTGATGTCATCCTTGATTCTGGTGCTGACACTAGCGTGCTTCCACTGCATTTCCGTGATGTTGGACAGCAGTGTGCGAGCCCGTCCACGACCTTCGTTGACGCCCAAGGATGTCCACTTGCAGTCTCAACAACACGTGTTGCAACCTTGCAGTTTGGAAATGTAGCTTTCAAGGAAAAGTTCATTGTTGCAGATGTCACCATGCCGCTGATTGCACTTGGCCACATCATCAAGTCAGGTTGGAGTTTGATTCAAGGTGATGCAGGCCCATGTCTTGTCAATGGCAACAATACAATCCCAGTTCACTACAGGAACAATTCCTTGTGTGCTCGAGGTGCAATCTCAATGGTGAGTGAGGTGAAGCCTGAAGACGCACTTCCAGCGGTGCGAGTGGTTCAGCTTGGCATTGTTCTCAGAACTTTGGCTGGAGGTTGGAACAAGCTGAGTCCTCATCTCTTTGCAATTCGCACAACGCTGCCAAAGTATGTTGATACAACAATGGCCCCTGCTGATGAGTTGATGTGGCTGCGCACAACCTTGGTTTGCAGGGATGGCAGTGGTTGGGAGGTGATGGAATTCTGCGAGGCCATTGGTGAGCTTCCAGGTGCCATAGACGAGGAGATCCTTTTTCCAGAAACTGTGATCGAAGTCATTACATTGGCACACAAGTATGCAATGCCAGCTGAAAATCTTGGTTTCTTCATGCCCGATTACGGTTTGGGGCCCTCACTTCATGCGGCTGAAACGTTGAAGCTTGATGCCAGTGGCAAGGCCGCTGATGATGCTGATTCAGGATATGAGCCAGCATTGCGAAGATCCGCCTGCAGAGGCCCCTGTTGCTGATGGTGGTGAACCTCTTGAAGAGGACAGGCTGGTGCCGAGAGATCCAGATGAGGCAGTGGTTTTTGTTGATGGCACGGCTCTTACAATCAACAGTTCCTTGCGTGCACTTCGAGCAGGTTGTGACAGTTTTGGTTTGTCAAAGCGTGGCAGCAAACAGGCTTGTCTGAAACGTATGCTGGATCACATACAGACACAGACACTTTTGTCTGCTCATGGAGCTGAAGTGAGACTGAAAAGTGAAGCTGAAAGGGAAGCCAGGAGTCAGAGTGTTCCAAAGGCTCCCACTCCTCAGGAGGTGCAGGCTCACAACTTGACCCATGAGCCGTACAAACCATGGTGTGATGTTTGTGTCAGCCACCGTGCGCGTCAAGATGCACATCCCAGAGCTGACCATGAACATGTTGGACACTCAGTGATCAGCTACGACTTTGGTTTTTGTACCAGGCTGCCAGCTGAAGACGACAAGCAAACAGTGTTGGTGCTGCATGATCGAGACACAAAGCTCACCCATGCAATTCCCACTTTGCAGAAGGGAGGAAAACAATTGCAGCATTTGGTAACAGAATTTGTGCGTTTCATCATGCTGACCCAGCACAAGGAGCTTGCACTGAGATCAGATTTGGAACCAGCCAACCTTGCAATTGCAGATGGCGTCAGGAGAACGTGCCGAGGCCTTGGAATCACTGTGCATCATGAGCCCGTGCCAAAGGGCGAACATCAAAGCAATGGTGCTGCAGAATCAACTTTGCAACAGATTCGAGTGAAGGCAGGTGTTCTCATCAGCCACATTGAGAGAGAGGTTGCTGGTGGTCGTTTGATTTTTGCTGCAACACACCCGCTTTACAATTGGGCTTTGTTGCACTCAGCATGGCTTCACAACAGGTTTGTTGTCAGCGGAGGCACAACAGCCTTTGAAAGATCCTCTGATCGAACATACACTGGAAAGCTCTGCATGTTTGGAGAGACGGTGCTTGGCTACATTCGCACTGACAAGAAAGCTGCTCCACGTTGGGTGAAGAGTATCTGGCTTGGAAAGGCACTTACAAACGACACACACATCTTGGCCCACAGCAATGGCGTTTTTCTGACCCGAAGTGTGAGGAGGTTGCCAACGCCTTTTGTACTGGAATCCCTGGGCGAAGTTGAGTTGGGCCCTTGGGAGTTTGGCTACGCTGCTTTGGGGCACAGGATGATGTACAACAAGACAGTGTCTCCACCACAGCCTCTTGGGATGCCCATGATCGACTTTGAGGCAGTACATGTGCAGAACTATGCTGCCAAGCACCCGGATGAAGACATGGATCCACCTGCTGACAGCCAGGTGGGGCAACAGGCGTCTCAACTTGCGCCTGATGTGCCAGCTGATGAGAGCAGCCAAGCTGGTCCAGTTGAAGCTCAACGAAAACATGATCTTCAAGATCCAGAACCTGCTGGTGACTCAAAGAAATCAAAAGTTGGAGAGGAACAGCCAGTGACACCAGAGCCTGATGATCTGATGCTTAGCACAGGTGAACGCTCTCCCAAGACTCCACGTCTGGCTGAATCTCCTCGACAGCAACGTATGCAACAGGTCACCAGCACAGACCTTGATTTGTACGAGCACGAAGATTCTGCTGTTCAATTCAAGTTTGACAACAGCGACCTGGACAAGCTTGAGCAGTATGAGTTTGAGTTTTACGATGATGAGCTGCTTGCAACAGATGGCAGCGACACCAACGACAGCGCTGAGCTCTCCAAGATGATTGGTCAGTTGACCTTTCCTTTCAGTTCCAAGGAGCCTGAGCTGAGTGATGCTGAGCTTACAAAGCTTGATGCTCTGGCCGACCGAGTTGAATTGGATCGCCTGGAAAAGCTTGCAGTGCTACAAGATCCCAGCACTGTTCCCAATGACTCCAAGGTGCTGAGTACCAGGTTTGTGCGCACTTGGAGGGAGAAGCATGACAGCAAGGGCAATCCAATTTGGTTGCGGCGGTCACGCTTCGTGGCCAGAGAATTTGCCTGGCTTGAGCCAGAGCGTGAGAGCCTTTTCTCTCCTGCAAGCGGAAGCATCATCTCAAGGATTCTTCCAACCATCTTCCTTGAGATGCGAGAAGATCATGATGCAGTTCTTGCAAGCTTGGATGTCCGTGACGCTTTTCTCACGGTGCTGCAGGAGAAGCCCACTTTGGTGCATACAACAGATGCAAGTGGTGTGACCAGGAGTTTTGCCCTGGGCAAGGTGCTTCCAGGCCAGCGGGATGGCTCACTTCTTTGGTACAAGGCCATCACTGCTTTTCTCAAGAAGAATTTGGACCTTGAGGAGCACACGCCATACCCATGTGTGCTGAAGTCCAAGGACAACTCTTGCGTGGTGATGATCCACGTTGACGACTTGCTCATCGCTGGAAAACGAAGTTTTGTGATGGGAAAGTTTGCTGAAGAGTTTCGCAAGGTCTATGACATTTCAATGCAGTGTCTTGAGCGGCCTGGCGACGAGATCACGTTCCTCAAAAGGCATCATGTGCTCCATGCAGATGGCAGATTGACCATCCACACACACCACAAGCATGTTCTACAACTATGCTCTCTGCTGGGACTGAATGCCAAGAACCAGAACAAGAAAAGCCCAGCTCATGCAGACATTGATTTGGAGGACAAATCTGAAGACCTCCAATCAGGAGATGCAACTACCTTCAGAACGTGCGTTGGAATCCTGATGTACCTGGCGAACGACCTTCCTCACTGCCAGTATGTGATCAGGTACCTTTCAACATACAGTTCCAAGCCGACGCAAAAGAGCCAAACAGTGCTGAGACACCTTGTCTCTTATCTGGCCTGCCACACATCGATCTCGATGTCTCTGAAGTGGTGTGGAAGAACATCTGGTATTTACCATGGCTATCCAGATGTTCAGCAGTCAGAGAACGTCCTTGAAGTTTTCACAGACTCTGACTGGGCCTCTGACAGACAGACCCGAAGGAGCGTCAGTTGCTGCTGCATCTTCTTTGGTGGCTGCATGATTTTCTCAGCGTCACGAACGCAGAAAGTGGTCTCACTCAGTTCTGCAGAAGCTGAAGTTTACGCTTGCAGCAGCGGGTCATCAGATTCCATACTGCTTGCCAGGCTTTTGACTTGGCTCACTGGACGCCGCACATGGATCTATGTCTACACAGACAGCAGTGGTGCGCGTGGAATCTTGCAGAGGCAAGGGGTAGGGCGCTTACGCCACCTCAGTTGCCGCGTGCTCTGGCTCCAGGCACTCATTGCCAGTGGCACTATTCGACTTTGCAGTGTCAGCGGCCATGTGAACCCAGCTGACATTGGAACAAAGAGATTGTCGGCGGCGCGTCTCAGAAGTTTGATGGCTGTTTTGGGCCTCTACAACAAGGATGTTGGAGCCTTGGAAGGAGGTGACGACCCTGGAAAGGTGTTCATCAAGCGCGAGAGCGTGAGGGCACTGGTTTGCGCCTTGACCCTCCTGAACCTCAAAGGGTGCAGTGATGAGAGCCCAATGGAGCATGGATGGAATCTTTTCATTTTCACTGCGCTTCTTGGTTTTGTGATGATGGTGCCCCTCATGTTCACCTTGCTTGGTTGGTTTTCAACTTCTATGGAGGCTGATACAGCCCTGGATGCCATCACAGAGCCTTCCACTGAGGCTGCAGCTATGAGCACCGCCAATCCATCTGGAACCAGTGCAAATCCAATTGAAGTCACAGGCAATTCCTACACTGTGGCAGTTGACACACCTCTTGGCCCTGGCGAGGTGACAGTCTTCACTGGTGCTCGAAGCTCCAATGAGAGCGTTCCTATTTGGGGTGGTGTGGATAAATCTGGCATGCCGAGGTTCAGCACGGCATTTGAGTTGCCAGCTCCTGGAGATGCCTGGTCGCCTGAAGCCATGATCACATGGATGTACGAGCGATGCGCGAGAAGACATGGCATTGCTGCAACAGATGAAAGGAGGCAGCTGTATGCCGAGCGCATGGCCGTTCTCAGAGGTGTCATGCAAGGCTGCAGGTCCACAGATGCTGAGCTGAGACTGGAGGCAAGCCGTATGACCAGGTCAATGACAGACATCTCTGAAGATGAGAACAGCCCTTCCTATAGGCTGAGTACATCAGAGTTTTGCACGACGCTGGATGAGGCCGAAAGAGCAGTTTCAGTTGGCCAGCAGCTGGTGGACACAATTGGAAGTGCCAGCGCATCCAGCAATCCAACAGCTGGAAGTGCTGCAGCTAGCAGCGCTCATGTGAATGCGGTGGCAGATGCAATGATCCGCATGCTCAGCGCCGAAAACCCTGAGGAGGAGACATCAGAGAGCGATGCTGCAATGGAAACTCAGAGCGAACGAGCTCGACGCTATGGCAGCTCTGAGCTTTGTGAAGTGAGCGACCCAGATGAGTGGATGCTGTACCACCATGGGCCATCTGACAGCGAAGAATCAGATAGCTTGTGAAGTGGGTAGTATCCATGGCCGAGCTGCCAATCTTTTAGGAGGTGAAGCTTGGTGACACGTCTCAAAGAGACGATGCAAGAAGTGGCACTCCAAATGGAGCCCCAGCGGCACTGTCATCAACCACCAATAAAGTTTTACTCCATGGCAATACCTGTTGCCTGAGGAGGTAGGTGTAGTGCTGCTGCATTAGCATTTGCAGCAAGGTGGGGTGCAAACTGTTTTCGCTTGTGCAATGTAGGCAACAGTTGCATTCCATGTCACATAGATCAAGTGTAGTATCAGTTCTTATCTTGAGGCGCTTTCCTCTCAAGGAAAATACGCAAACGAAGATGATCCTTCCCAGCCAGATGACCGAGATGCCCGAGACAGAGACCATGATGAATGAAAACCAAAATGCAGATCGAAATTATCAGCGCGACTACGACTACGATGATGATGAGCATCGTTGTGGCGTTGGTGGCTATGGTGGCTCTTCTTGGTTTGAGTGGTGAGCACCGAGGACGAATCGCGGCGAAACCTGTTTCCAGCACAAACTTTCAAACTGGGCTAGCTAGATAGGCTAGAAGAACGCACAGAAAAACACCAAAAACAGTAACATGAAGGATTTAGTGTGACGTTGAAGTGGCCGAATAAAGATGAAAACATGCTGCAAATGGTAGGGGCCAAATCAAACAAAATAACACGACAGCTGGCATGGCGATACCCCATATGCAGCAGCATGAACAGTTGTGCAGTATTTGTTCTCATTGCTGTGATGACTGATGCAGGTGGATACAAACCGGTGGAAACCGACCATACTGTGTTTTGGCAATTTCACGAAACAATTTTGTGGGCGAATGTGTGACATTTTGCCAAAAGCAGCGTCGAGGTCGGATGTAAGATGTTTACGCTACACGAGATCCGTTCCAAACGAGTATATTGCAAGTGTTGCCGCAATTTGCATGGCATGTGCAACAAACACATTGAACCCATTGAACTGGTTGATGCAACAATAATATCAATTTGGAATTTCTTGAATATTTGCTTAACCACTTCTGCCGGTCCTGTGTCCAGCTGTCTTTGAATCACCGTCACGTTTGATTGATATTCAAACAAAAATTGTTCATGGTTGAACATGTGCCACAAAATGGCGATTTGGACATCAACAAAAACATTCCTGGAACTTTTCCATGTTACCCTCCGAAATATCAAAAACGTATTTTTCGTCTATGGCGATGCGGCATGTGGTTCGAGCACATGATAACATTTTGCGACTTATTTGCCGGGATATCCATCAACAGGATGGGTTGCAACGATGACGGCTGGCCCGACGTTAGATGATTTGTGGGACGATTGGAAGCCAACGGAGCAAACAGCGCTCGATTTTTTGTTGGAACCTGGGCTTAAGGGCATGTTGGAATGGAAACATTGTAAACAATATTTTGTTGTCATCAAACCACTTGTGGAACACTGATCAACGTGTGTGGTTGGCATATGCTTTACGTAACTTTGTCTACATCCAATGGGCCGTGGCTGTGAGGATCAAGATGGAACGGAAGACCAAGAAGATGATGACGATGACGATGACGAGTGGAATCCCGTATGTCAAGGTGCTGCAGTCGGGCATGACGAAAATGGTCATGCAAAAGATGTAGCAAACAATGACGCAGAGGAAGACGAGGAGGAGGTGCGAACACAAACACATCTTGGGTGCACGTTTCTTTCATTCCCATTGGGATTGGTGTATGTCAATGGGTTATGTTTCATTCATAATCATTTACATTTACCATCATTAACCACCATTAACCACCATTAATAACCATATATTGGTCATTTTTGTTCAAAAATTGAAAGCTGCACCATCCCATTGGGTATCCAGTCGCCAGATGCCAGGATTCAGACAGTGACTGGGCACCAGAGGTGCAAGGTGCAGCCAATGTGGAGAAATCTGAAAAGGAGGCATTGAAAGTCCTGTTGCAACCAAATTTTGTGAAAGAAAAGTCTCCGGAGTCGCTTGGCGCCAATGTTTATTTTTGAAACAACATTGCTTTTTGGGATTTCTGAGGTGAACATTGATGGAGTTTATGACAATCCATTTCCATCCATTTCCATTGTTGATGTGGCAGTGTGTCAAAACCTTGTACCCCTGAACATCAAAATAGCTGGTAAATGGATGTTCATCCCCCTAAAAATGGTATTAATAGGTATTGATCCATACCCATGTTGAATTTTTCCAGTGAAGGAATTGCAGCATTGATGGTCCCATAGGTAGCAAAACATAGCAAAACCCATCCCCCACGCCGGGCCCATTGCCGGACCTCAGGTCCTTGCAGAACCAAAAAGAAGCGGATGCGGCGGGCCGAATGCTTCATGAGCTGCGAAGGCAGATTGAATGGATTTTTTGACTGTGATGGTATATCCATTTATATGATTTTATATAAAAAAAATAGTGGACACTATATATATAGACTAGATATACACAATATAATATACGTTTGTATATATATATATATGATTATATATGTATACACATAAAAACATATGTGATGTATATTTGTATCTCCAGCAATTTCCAGTTGGAACCCCCTAGCATTGCCATTCTTTCGAGGCCTCCGACTTGGGAGGAGGTGAAGTCGGAGATGCCGCGAGGTCCCGAGGTTGACCCCGATCTCTTGGAAACCCCATCCTACCGAGACATGTCACAGGAGGAGGCTCTGGATCTGGTGCGCAGAGGCTGCTGGATCTCATGGGGGTCCCCAAAAATTTCCATGGTTGTCTCAGCAAAAATGGGGAAAATATATGATTTTATTGAAGAACAATTACATGAACGTAGTCTGTTAATGTCTATTTTTGAAGAAAGTCAAGTATCTTGCCCTGAAATCCAGAGATGGGATGCAAATCACCAAATTTTTCTGAAATTGGTTCAGACGGTCTGCAAGTGCTGGATTTCTATTGTGTTGCATTACGAGAAAGGACACGATAGCTGCGCTTGTGACGGAAACCAGGCAGCCCCTTGCAGGTGCCACGGTGAATTTTCAAGGTCAACATGGGCGAACACCTCTGCACAAGGCGGCCGAGAAGGCGTTTCCAGTGTTGATCAAGGCTCTTTGTGAAGCTAGGGCAGATCCTGATAGCCGAGATCACTTTGGTGCCTTGCCGCAAAAAAAAAACGGTGCCACTTAAAAGAACGGTTGGGGTCTCTGCAAACTCAGCTAGACACAACATGATTGTAAACTGATGATCTCATCCGTAATGACTTAAGAAGATCACATATTATATAATATCATATTATTCAAATCTGTTTACTAGGCAAAAACAGATCATGCAGGTATGCTAGATCCCAGTTTATCCAGAGTCAAAGCCCAGACAGTGGCTCTGTCCCAGACATGGGTCCAATTTTTGGATTCAGCCCTGGATTTTGATGAAAACCACCAGGCTGTTTATTTCAGAGGTAGCACTTTAGTGCAGATCAAAATCACCATTTTCTTGAGGGTGGCTGGGTAGCTCCCCAAGAAAAAAAAACGGCCCCGTTGAGGTGAGACACCCCTGCACGTTATCGCAAAGTCAGGGAGCTTGGATGAAAACATTTCCAAGTCGCGGAGATGTGATGCTGGGATTGATACATGGTGGGATTGTTGACTAAAATTGACCAGGAAAGCCACGTGGCTTCACCCAGCAAATCCGACTTGTTTTTGGTTCTGGTAGGAATTAGGATTTTTTTTGGTTGGTTGATGCCAGGTTCCTTTGAAATCCAGAGTTCACTCAGTTGGGTTGTCCGATTTTCGTAGTGCCTATTAATTCGATGCACTCTCATGTATGATAGAACTGTGATTTTTACTAAGCAGTTCGTTTTTGAAGCTGAAGCGTTGGTTGCAGCTCCCAGGAAGCCATTCAAATGCTGCTGATGCAGGGCGCCGATGTGCATGCGGTGAACCCTCGGGGCCGTGGTGTGCTGCATCTGGCAGTGACTGAACATGATCTCCCAGCCATTGAGACACTGATCGAGGGCATGGCCGATGTGATGCTCGGCAGTACCTGGTACCTGGCAGTCCTGAGTTTCGGTGTTGCTGAGGACCACGAAGTTCAAATGGGTTTGTCTGAAAATAGGGTATATTCCCAATTATAGCCATTTAATAGGGATAATGATCATTAACCATTGGGTTTAGGGGTACACTATTTTCAGACACACCCAAATCAACATGGACTGCGTTTCAAAGAAATCACTTCTGGGTGAGTTGGGGGCTCTCCACAATTTGAGGCTCAAAGTAGTTTTTCGAAGTCACAAGAGTTTATCTACATGACTGAAATGTATGCGTATATTATATTTACATATGTATATATATATATATATTGTAATCACTATTTTTAGTTGCCGACTCTTAGTTCCTGACTCAGCCCGTTTAGTTGCCGACTCAGCCCCCGACCATATTTGTCTACCCTGGGCTAAACCTGACATAGATGTAGAAAACCAATGGTTTCCCTAGGAACATGATCTGCAAATGGTAGCTTCTCCACATCTATGCTAGTTTACAGGAGACAATAGTATATACATAGGTATATATATAGGTATACGTATAGGTATATATATAGGTATATATATATAGGTATATATATATAGGTATATATATATAGGTATACATATATAGGTATATATATATATATAGGTATATATATATAGGTAGATATATACATATATATAGGTATATATATATATAGGTAGATATATACATATATATAGGTATATATGTATATAGGCATATATATATATAGGTATAGGTATATATGTATATAGGTATATATATAGGTATATAAATATATATAGGTATATAAATATATATAGGTATATATATATAGGTATATATATAGGTATACACATGCATATACATCAGTTGACACCCAGAATTGAGGTCTTGTGCTGGGTCCTGGGATCACCCAAGGAATGCGCAAGATCTGGCAGGCTTCACACCTCTAATGTGGGCTTCTGGTAGAGATAGCGCAGATGGTGTTAAGATGCTCTTGGATTGCGAGGCTGGTGATTTTTGATGTTGGATTGTTGATGTTTTTTTTTGGTCAGATTTGGTGATAGATTCACACATGGTCTACCTCGACATATCTAGAACAGTGCAACATCATTCTACTTGAATCTCGTAGACCAGATTTCAGAATAGGTATTGCTAACATTTATTTAACGTGCTGCTGGTTCTAGATGTGCAGATGTACACTTTACCCTCTGGTAAACTAACATAACTATGGAAAATCACCATTTTTAATGGGAAAATCCACTATAAATGGTCATTTTCAATTTCATTTACCAGAGGGTACCGTCCAAGAAACATCGATGTCGGAGAGGCTGACTTGGCAGTGAAAGCTGCGCGGGGTCAAACTGCGATGACCTTTGCGTTGACCAACGGCTGCAACGCCATTATGGATATCTTGGATAAGCACCAAGCGATTCTCGACGCGGAAGAGGCGTGGTGTTGTGGGGTCCCCGGCCAAGCCATGGCCACCCATGGCCCCTTCAGCCAGATCCATAAATGAATCCAGAGATCTTAAATGGTCAGCCAATGATATGTGGATGGGTCAAAACCCTGTACCCCTGTAGTTCACATCAAAATAGCTGGGATTTATGGATGTTCATCCCCCTAAAAATGGTATTAATAGGCATTGATCCATAGCCATTTGAACATTTTTCAGCTACACATGGTGACCCTCCTGCGGCTCCAACCAGGCCCGGAGAATCAAGGAGAAAGGCGAAGGATGCCATGGAGCTGAGGAGGCCAAGGGGAGATTTTTGAAAACACGGGGGGATTTTTTTTTGGGTTACCCTCTGGTTATGTCAGACATAGCTATTGAAAATGGCCATAGAAATAGTGGATTTTCCCATTAAAAATTGTGATTTTCCATAGTTTTTTGTATGTTTACCAGAGGGTATTTTCAGACTGTTGGCCATTTTGGGGCTTCTGAAGAGATGGATTTGGCTGTTGAAATTTTGAAGAGCTCAGAAAATCTTCACATCAGGTTTTGCCACGCTTGTAGTGATGGGGTGACTTGGAGTGACCTGTGGCAATGTGACTATCCTACGATTTTTCGGTTGCTACAAAGTCGCACTGGGAGTGATAGGACCATGACTGGAACCAGCTGTAAGGCGAGCTGGATCTCATGTTCTTAGCTCCTGGGTTTCTTTTGAAGAAACCATCAAAGACATGCTACATGCCATTAAGGTCCATTAAGTCATTAAGCAAAGCGGATGATCCAATGTTACAACCTCCATCTCCATGGATCAGGAGGAATGGACTGAGACTTTGCAGCTTCCAAAGCCTGACTGGGCCTGCAAGCATGAGAAGCCTGCGAACATGGAACCCTATGCAGGGCGCAGGATCTATGCAGAAGCCAAGCCCGACAGGCTGGGTTCGGGTGAAGCTTTCCAGATTCCAGGGCTTTCCAGGGCTTTCCAGGGCTTTCCAGGGCTCACAGATATCATGTCAGGCTGTCAGACCTCTTGGCTGTGTGGGATCCAACCCGTGGTGTGACACTGTGACGACACTGTGACACCGCGCTGTAGGCACTCCAATGTGTACGTGGGCGCCATGCAGCGCGCATGAGCCCGTCAGAGTTGCGGTGCTGTGGACGAACTCCGTTGCGGTGCCCGAAAAAAGGCTGCGTTCCATGGCTGGGAAACAATGGGAACACACATACATCAATAAACATTAATAAACATTAGCATTAATCAGTTGGGAAATTGTGAAATGGTGACACATAAAACATCAAACACGGGCGACATTTGGCTCGAGCTATGCTTCTGCTCTGACCATTTTTTCTTTTGAACAATTCTTGCTGCATGCTGGCCTCGACATGAGTCAAGGCGCCGCGAGGGAGTGGTTTTTTTTGCATGGAATTGTTGTTGCCCCCAAGGTGTTAGCTGTTCGGTATGAGTCGGTACAGCGTCTATGCATTTATTCAGACATTGTTTCTCTCAGTTCAAGGATTCTACATTGCTTCGGTAGTGGATGTAGTGGCATCAACGTGCAGCCCTCCGTGCAGGGCTGGGGCCATCGCATGGTTTATGATGCGAACGTGGAAGAAGGTGCCAACCGAAGGGATGAGCTGGAGAATGGGGGATTGGCTTTAGCCATTTGTGGCTGCTTCAAAGTTCCGGAATTTCATTTGTGAAGTTCTCTGGCTGCGGCTTCTTTGATAGTCTACAAACATCTACAAACTAAAACTGTGAGAATTGGAAACTACAGCTGAAAGCAAACATCTACAAACATCTACAAACATCTACAAACATCTTCTTTGATTGTCTACTATACTAAAAATATTCTAAAAATACTAAGACTCTAGCTGAAACATAAATTTTTGCCTTCTGGATGAAGTTGAGATCAGGACGAAAGTCTTTGCCGAGGTGAGCCTCCTACGTGGCCTCCTCTGCTAAAGCTGGGGGAACCCAGTGCATGTGATGGATAGAATGGGTAGATTGGGAAGTGCATTTTCTCGGGTTTGGGTTGGCTTTCGGGATATCTTTAGCGTGAGAAGATGTTTTAGAAGTGCTCTTGGACTCTTGGCATTTCTGCATTCATGTAGCTTCATTGCGACAAGGTGGCCCCTCCTGTTTTTGTCTGGAAGAGGATTCCAGCTGATCTGACCATATTTCTTTGATTCCATTGATTTCAAGAGAGCAGGTCTCAGGGCGAAACGCTAACCCTTCCTATTGCAACACTCGGTGAGCTTGGTCTTTCCCCGCCACTTTGTTACAGGTGGCAGAAGAAGGCAGAGAGTTCGCGGAGTCGCCAATTGGGACGTTTGTCCAAAATGAAAAGAACTGAGCAAGTATGAATTGTCACTTTATCAATCACCAGTTATCAATCTTTATCAATTATCGATTGAATAGCAGTCCCAATCTTCCATAATTCTCCCAAATCTATCCAAATCTCACCAATGAATTTCAGTAAATCCCAGTAAAAATCCCCGAAAAATCTCGACGCAGACCGCGTGGCTGTGGCGCTGCTGTCGACGTTTTAAGCCAGGCCGAGGGACCCCAGAAGGTCACCGAGTTGTCTTGGGATGCTCTTAGTAAAGATATGAGATCTTAGTATAATACATACATCCATGTATATAATATATAATAATATTATATATAAATAATTAATAACAATTATATATATATGTATCTAAAACTATAAGTATATATATATATAAGTATAGTGTATACTTTATATATACACATTGTATGTATACAATATATATATAGCATATGTATATATGTACTCATTGTATATACGTCACAATGTTTGACTGAGGTGATGAAGAGGACCTTGAAGCAGGACGTTGTTGGGACGGCTTTCGCATTGGAACATGGGTGATGACCTGTTGATTCCCAAGTCTCAGATGCCAGTGCTATCCCAAGGTCCTAAGCAGTTCTGAACGACAGGAGTCGCACAGGTGGGCAAAAGTCAAAGCAAGATCAGCAGAGGCCCTTGGGTATTCGCCAGGTGCTGTCCCACTGGGTTTGGTCAAAAGTAGGACATCCAAATCCAGTGATTGAGCATCTCATCATTTTCACCATGATCAATGGCCTTAGCAAAAAGAGCTAAAACCAATTTTCAGATACACCGGTATCGATCCTCTTGAAGGTAGGCTCCGGTTTTTTCAGTCTTGGCATCCAATCCAAGCATTTTTTTTTTGGGGGGGAGAAGACATTTTTTTTAAAAAACCACTACCAATTTTTCTTGTCGCCCACCTGATGGCAGATGTGTATATGTATATATATATATACACATGTATATTCATTCACACCACACTTTGCAAATTCTAAATTCTATGTAACGATATGTATATACATTTACACGATCTAATACATTTTTTGAAATACATGTATAATATCAGATATACAGACACATACATATCTTCCAGACATAAATACACACACATATATAGATTAAAAAACCAGTGAATGATAAAAAACATGAATAAATAGATAAATTTATAGAACACAACCAAATGAATACTGATTGGTGGTTTGGAACATTTGTTATTTTTCCATATATTGGGAAGAATATTCCCAACTGACTGCCATATTTTTCAAAGGGGTGGAAACAACCAAATGAATAAATATCTCTGTATACATCCTGAAAGGTTGGTGTTTTCTCTGGTCCTTGCGCTCTTCCAGGCAACTCTGTGAGCTTCGCCAGTGCTCCCTCCACGACTTCCGCCAATGAAGAGCGGGGATCCCGAAAAGATCCCGGGGACTTTAAGCAACAAAAATAGGTATTTGAATCCAATAATTATAATATATTTGTCCATTGATTATGGTGATAAATGTGATCATCATTTTTAAAAAAATCAGTTTATATAATTCATGGAAAATCAGCCATAATTAATGGTATGATAAATCCGATGTAATGTGGGAAATACTCTTTTGAATGGGAAACCCAATAATGAACAATTGGGAACGAATAACAACAATGTGGTACACCCAATGCCATAAATCATCGCCAAAATCACCCTTTTTATGGGTGGTGTATTACAAGCCATCCCCCAAATGTTTATTATTGGGTTTCGGGTTTCCCACATTATTTAAATAAGAACTGAGTTTATATAACTACGAAGAACTGGTAGATGAACATCCGTTTCGAGTACAAGTTGGAGATTGGAAAAAAAATCCAAAAAGTAGAGGTCTCACCACAGAAAATTGGGGTTTAATCAACCTGAATGGCATTGACTTCGGTAAATTATGGGAACCTCCCTGGCTGACCAGGCGGCCAAAATCAAGGTGGGCATGTGTCCATGGCAGTTTTTTGGGATATGCTTAGCTTAGCCATTTTCCAGAATTCATGTCATGACCACCCCAGATCTGCGAGTGTCATCCATTGTCCAGCTTCGGCGCGATGAGGTTTTCTCACACGGTTCCCTTTGATCCCGAAGAATTCCTCCGGCCTGTTCATCAGTCAGACTTGGTGGACAGGCCGCCATTTGATGGGAAAAGGTGTCTCATGGCGATCTATCATGGACAAGCAGAACCTTTGTTCTTTTTAATTTTTAATGATCTCGACTATTTACATTTCCAAAATGTTCGGTCTGAGACTTCCTGATATTTGCAGTTTCACGGTCTATTTGAAGAATGAAGAATCCTGCTTGGGCCATCCCTTTTTGGATGCAGCTGTGGGATTTTTGTGAACGCTGCTGCATTGCAGGTTTTATAGCAAGCTGGCAGCAGAGTATGAGGCGCATTGCGACAATCCTTCCATTGTTTGGTGCCTGGCACAGCACAATGGCTGGCTTCAGTAGCTCATCTTCTGGTCATCAAGCCATTCTTCTTGCATACGGTCTTTCCAGAAAGATCAAGGCACAGGATCCTGAAAACAACAACTGATGCAAAGAAATCCCCAAGAAAACACAAACATGATGCATTTTCAGGCATTTTCTGTTTGTGAAGCCCAACTGAGTCAGGCGGCCGCTTCAGCTTCTGCTTCTGGACTTGCAGAGGAGAATGTCCAGCCAAAGATGACGCCACAAATCTGGTGATGGTTTTGATCTGAAGCTATCCACTTTTGGATCTGAAATCATGACATGTTTCGGATCTGAAAGTTTCAGAAAGCATCCATTTTTTTTGGATCTGCAATCACGTGGAAACCTGGTTGAAATGGAATGGGCTTGGAACGTCAGTGGATAGGCGTCCTGAGTTGGTCAGATAGCCTGATCACATCATTGTCGCTTGCCGTTTCCCGAAACAAATGGGTCTGTGCAAAAGTGGGTTATGTACCTCAAAACAGCAAGTCTAATCAGGAAGATGATGATCAATCAGTAAATTTTCGGGTACCCTATCAGACAAACCCAACTGTGGGCCTAGTTTCCTCAGGAGGGACTCCTGCCCTGGCGTGAGTCTGGTGTTGGGTGCCCTGAGCACACCTTGCACATCACCTTGGTCATCAATCCATGAAACTGTATCTTTATGGTGAAGTAAAGAGTCGTAGTAGGCAATACATGTAGAGATTCAGATGTAGTTCAAAAGATACTTCAAGGATCTTCAAGGTGGCAGTAGGAAACGGTCCATCTATTTTTCCAGCGCTGAGAAAGTTGATCTCAAACATGGCTGGAGCATCCCCCCAGTTTTTCGTTCGATGATTTTCCCAGCGAACGACACCTCCATAAAAGGCTGAAATTCGCCCCAGCATGAGGCGGCCTTTTCCCTTTCGCCCACCACGAGATCTGACGCCATGGCGCAGTAGTGGCCTCAGCCGGGAGGTTGAACAAGGGAAAACATATGAACCGTGGGGATTTATATAGCCATCAAATCGCAGCTTTACAGAAACCAGGAAAAAATTGAATTTTACCCATGAAGCCTTGGGTCCCAGAAGCAGCAGACATTGGAATTTTCGCCAGGTCCCGGTCCTTTGGCCTGGCTGTTGGAACCTCGGATGACTGTTGGTTTGCTCCAGAAGGACTCAACTCATTGTGTCAAGGAGAGTTCTTATGGTCACTCCCGGAAGGCAGGATGTGGAGCCGTTGGTCTCAGTTTGGCAGGGGCTCCACCCATTCTTGTGCCAGGGCAGCAGTGCTGGCGGCGAGGCCGCATCCTATGGCAACTTAGTGGACGCGCAGGAGCCTGGTGCCATTTGGGTCTCAGGAAGCCAAGGTCCATAGATCGGTGAACCCTCCCAGTGCATTGGGGGTGCCCAGGACACCGACTATAGTCACTTTAGTCATTTCACTTCGAAGCTCGGCGCTGAGAGCAGTGGATGGGCCACAGTCGAGATGTGTCCTTGGATAGGAAACGCGTTGAAAACCACCAGATCATCCGAACTTTTGGTCAAAGTGGTGCCAGTTAGAAGTTGACTTATATATATATAGATTATATATAGATATCCCCATCAAACTTTGGTAATATGTATCATGACCCTAATCCTGCAACGCGAAACAAATCCCTGAGCTGGGCACAGGTTGACAGATGCAGATGGCATGGAAGCCCAGGTTTTTGCGTGGTCCAAAATCTGTCCCATCCCCATTTCTGGTGAAAGCGCCTGGAGAGTGTCGTGTGTGTTTCCTTCACAATGCCACACGATGTGAAACAATTCCCCTCTGGCTATTTAACATAGCCATGGTATAGATGACCCATAGAAATAGATGATTTTCCCAGCTAGAAACCTCCATTTATTTTGGGGATTTTCCATGGCTATGTTAGTCATAACCAGAGGGTTTTTTTCGTTTATGGATGTTGTAAACAGAGTCATGAGAGTACCATAGAGTACCCCAAACCCCTGGTGACGACTGGGTCTCCGCCATGACACCGAGGTCGTTCCCTTAAGGCTGGCCTCAGTGAGCAGTTTGCTCCATTTCTTGCGACAAACAAATGGCTCAGTCAATGGCAATTGGTTGATTCAGTTTATTCAGTTTCATCAACCAAATCTGCAATTGGTTCTACTGCGTATTCCTGACTGAAAAATCACTTAAATCCATGGCAAGCTGCATGGAGTTGCACCTTTCAGAGGAAATAGTCGACAAAACGCACTCCTTTCGGGCACACTCTGTGTAAGTTTGTTGGACATTTCGCTTGGCACAAGAAAAATCACCGGCAAGCCCGCCAGGTTCATACAGAGCCTGAGGCAGGATCCAGTGGGTTGAGCTGGAGGGGATCAACTCAGCAGGCCATATGTCTCCCAAAATGCAGAGGTAGGATGGTTTTGTCTGCCATTTTCCCAATCGAATCATTTTAGCATCGCATATCTATGCCATGCCATGTCGCAGTGTTATTTTATTTGATAAAAAAAAATCAATCATTCCCAACCACATCTCTAGAGTTCCTGTCCGATTTGTAGAAAATTCATTCCGTCCAACCATTGCCAGGTCCTCCAATTGGAGCACCCGGAGCGCACCTTGGCGCGCACCGCCAGCGACCGGGAATCCATCAGCGATGGCCTCGCGAGCCGTTCGCCGGGCTCGGGACGGCCGTCGGCGGCGCCGACGGTGACCACCGTGGCGAGGGCGGACCGCAGGGGCTCCCGCAGCGCGCCGTTGATCAGCTTGGAGGATCTTGAGATTGAACAGGTGGGGGGATTGATGAAGGGAAAAACGTGAATGATTTAGCTGGTAAAAACTGGGGGTGTCAAGAGTACACTTGAGTTTCACCTGGTAAAAATTGAGGTTGACCTGGACAAAAATTAGAATAGCGCTGTATAAATTGGGATTTGCCAGATGGGTCATGCCACCGATTGAGATAATCTTTGCCACCCCTTAACTTTGGAGCAGACCCGCTGACAGGTGGAGCAGGCGGTCATTGTGACGCCCACCAACCAGCTGAAGCAGAAACACCTGGTTTTTGCGATGGTGCATGAGGATGGAACTGGGACTGGGAGGAAAGACAGATTGTGGAGGATCGAAGCACCGCATGGGACATTTGGGCTCAAAAGAGCTGTGCTTTTGAGAGGAAACCCTCCCAACCCTCCCAAATTCTTCTGTCAACATTGGCGCCAGGAGGAACAGCCTGTTTTAAAGCCGCAGCTCAAGTCCGTCCACTTCGTGGGGGTGGATTCCAACGTGGCACCTGAGGTCTGTTGGTGGTCTACCCATGTGAGGAAAACGCCCAGGAAACCCAAAAAGCAAAGGAAGTGCCCGTTCTCCCCATCCCAGAATCGAACATTGACAAGAAAACACCTACATTTGGCTGCTGAGTCCATGGCTTTCTGTGAAATTTCCTTCAATCCAAGATCGGCAATCCAAAATCTTTATCTTATATATTCGATTTTGGTTGGTTGAATCGCCATTTAGGTTTGTCCAAAAGTCCGGTGTACATCGAAATTGCCAATTTCAGAGAGAAAGTGATCATAAACCATGCAATTTGGCTTTGGTTTTTCCATGTTTTTCCCCAAACACTTTCAGACAAAGCAACTTCTGGTGGAAGGAAAATCACCGTGGCTTGCTCAAATTTCCACCTGGGATACCATGGGCTGGGCGAAGTCATCCATCCATTGGCGAAGGAGAGCCCCAACCGAAACCGCCTCTCTACTGGAGCCGGACCCCTGCCTCCCAGAGAGGTGCAGATGGGTGGTTCCTGTGGATTTCGAGGGGGTTCCAACCATCCACAGTTATCCTTTTGGTGGTGGATTTCACAAGCGTATGGAAAAAAAAGGTAGAGATTATGATGATTATGAGATATTTCACAACATGTCAGATTTATGAGATTCGATGGATGGTAGACAGACCCACAGGACACCCTGATTTGAGATTATGAAGCAGCATCAGTAAGAACATGGGATGCACATCCATTTTGGGCACGGTCCATTCTAGGGATGGTTCAATCCAATTCATAAATACCGATAATCTAAAAACCCAACTGGGCGTGGCTGAACATGGGGTATACATGGGTATACCGCATACCATATACACCCATGAAGGCATTTTAAAGGGGAAGATGGGGATTAGCCATTGGATTTTGGGATTCCTTATTTTCAGTGAAACCCAAGGGGAATGGCCATGGAATGATTGCTTGACTACCCCAAGGCCGATGGAAGACATCCTGAATTCCCACGGTAGACCTTTGCACCGGTGAAGTGGTGATATCTTTCATTATGGAGTGATGATGAATCAGTTGAGTTATCCGCACCCTATTTTCAGACAAACCCATAGCCAAGACTAAGGCTGATAAATGTTTTAAATCCTGACGATAGGTTCGCAAGGTGCTCTGCAACTGTCCCAGTTACAACCGATTGCATCCAGCCACTTCAGTGGGAGGTTTCTTCGTGGGGCGAAGTTGCTGATGTTATGAGCTGTATCAAACTAGGGACCCTTCAAATCAACCAATGATACCAATGAATCTAAGATGTTCAATTTGCAGCCTTGAATAGACAGCTCACATAGCCACATAGCTCTTGAATATTCACCGCAGACGCTGACAGGAGAAGGAAGTGGAAACTTCAGCCAGTGCCCCTCTCAGGGATCACCACAGTCAGCTGAACTGACAGCATGGTTATAGCTGCCCTGACTTGAAAAACGACTTTCTTTCTGTTTGCAACGGAAGATTTTTGAGGAAGCCGTTAAAAACAGAACTGAATGGGGTTGATTACATATGTATATAACTAACTGTATATACTTATTGTTTTATATCAAACACCAAAATGAAATACAGAACCAGAAGACGGAGTTTGGCGTCCACCACAAACATCATGCCTTTCAGGTAACGTCCCTTCAGAGGCTCCCGCTGGATCAAAATCCGCGAGTGGCACCTCTGAGTCGAATGTCCAGGCAGAAAGGGACCGAAATGGCTATGGCTTTGATGGGAGTAAGTCAATCAACGTGGGGATATGGGTGACAATTGTAACGACCTCACTGCAACATCACTCAAAATATCTCAAAATAATGCTTACTAAGGGGAACTATCCCCAAATCACCGTCTTTCAGATTGTTGAATAGTGAATGATAATAGTATATAACTCAATAGCAATAAATGATTTATCCAGGGTTACAGAACTCCGACTGAAAATAGAAGAGGATTCACTCCGATTGACCCCAGAAGAAATTGGACGGTCAATGGATGTGGTTCTGGCGGTACCTCACTTTGGGCTGCCATACCCAAACGTGAAGTCCACCACACTGGGGATGTGGTTGTGTCATTTGGGTTTGTCCAAAGAAAGGGTACGGTATACGCAATGTGTTGGCCCTGCAGATTGGAAACCATTATGACATTATGACATTTTTATAAATACACCATGGATTTTTTGGGTGGTCTATTTTTGGATACGCCCATCTGAAGGAGTTTTGTAGAAACGCCCCATGATTGCAGGATGTCCACATAGAGCTGGAGATCGAGGACGTTCAAGCTGGGGCAACACCGGGGAAAGCTTTGGATGTTTCCGCTTGCGCATTTTCAATGTCTTCACCAGTGATTTGAAAGAGTGGAACATGGGCCTAGTAGCTTCGTTTTGCAGCGCGGACGTTGCCTACGATGCAGGCAACGTTGTTTTGAGTTTGGGATCAATCCTAGAATCTATTCATCGGCTGTCTCCTGCTTTCATTTCCCATGTGGACTCACCCTTTCAACCTCTAGGACAAGAAGACAGAGAGGCGGCGCGATGGGGTGACCCTCTCCTTTGGGATTATCCAACAGATTCCAAGGGTTCATTGTTTTGGGGTTCTACATCATACATTTGCATCAGTGGTTGGTCGTGTTATGTCGTGTTTAGTAACGCACGAATCTCATTTTCAAATACACCAATAGAGCACAACAATGTGATTGCTGGAGTTGTTCCCCTTGACAAATTTGATGGCGCTGCGAATGTTTGCTCCTGATGTGTTGCTTCTGACTTTCGGGATCTCACCAAGCATTGCACAGGGCTTGGTTTGTGTATTTGTATCTATGCATGTCTAGAATCTCCATGACTCTTACACCCTTGCTTTGACCCCATAAACTGGAGTTGGAACGTTAACCAAGGGCTTGGATTCAAACTGGCACAGGCTGCTCAGATATACACATATGTCATATGTCATCTCAAAGAAATGTGCATACACACTATGTTTCAAATATACATGACAGTCCTCACTGTTTGTCATATGCGCAAAAATGTGACATCTCCATGTACATATAGAATATTAGATATATGATGCATATAATATATATATATATACTGTATATTTTTCATCAACATATACAACTAGAAACATGAACATGGGTTTCTCTGAAACTAGTTGTATCCCCAAATTGACAGGCGCAGCTCCGGTTCATCCTCCAAGTCGGCCAAGGGTTCTCCGTGACATGGCTTGGAGAAATAACATCACTGAATCATTTTCTGTGCGGATATTTTTTCGACCAGAATCTGTGTGGAAGAGCTGGAACAACTGGTTCTTTTTGGGCGTTCTGATAGGCCTCCAAGAACTTTTCAACATTGAGACAAACTGATTTTTAGTGGTGGGATGACACAGCTACACTGCCGTTGCGGGCATTATTTGTAAACCGTTAAACCCTGCGGCCTTACGGAGCAAGTGGAAGTTTTTGAGTTTATTCTGAAGGGGGAAGCAGCTACCACCACCATTTTGATCGAACCAAGTGTCGGATATGCATCATTTATCCGATACCCCTTTTAGATCCTTTGTGTCTTTTTGGTCCTCCTCCATTATTACTATTTTGATATACATAGAACAACCCCACATGGAAATCCACACTTGTAGCCGACCGTATATTTCTTTAAGACCCAGTGGTACGAGTTAAATATCAATCTTTGGTGTTCAATTCGTTAATTAAATCTCAGTATGCCGAGTTATCCATTAAGTCATTAAGTCCCATTAAATCCCATTAAATCCCATTAAATCCCATTAAATCCCATTAAATCCCATTAAATCCCATTAGTTCAACCAGCCTTTCTTTGATCAATGGAACAATCTCCCCCAACCCCAGACTCCAGACGCTCCCCAAGGCGCATCAGTGATGAGGAGGCCTTGGCCGCTTTGGAGGCGATCCGGAACCATCATGGCTGGTTTTTTAGGCCAAGATCTATCCATGAATCAATTGGTTGATAATGTGGCTCTATATATATATAGAATTATATACATATGATCATTGATGAATCATCTATCTAATTGATATATGATTGAGAATAATTTGATCATATATCAAACTGTCAATTGGATCATATTTGATCATCGAGTGGATATATCCATCAATCATATATCAACTAACGATCCCTATTTATCATCATCAATTGGATAGATGGTCAGGTGGCACAATGGCCTCCTCCCAAAGAGAAACACGTGGAGAAGGCTTGGGAGAGCAATTTGACGAATGGAGGCCCAAAATGTTTTTTTTTTTGAATATCCTCAGAATCCACTGGTCTATCTGTTTCATCATGGACTTTTCAACGCCAAATTATTGGTAAAGCTTTGGTGTCGACCCCCTATTCCAAGGCAAAAAACTGGACGTTCCGCTGGTGGTTTTTCAGCAGATCCAGCACCCGTTGGGCTTTTTCAGAGGTCTCCACTTCGGCCCCTGTGACCATGGTTACTGGACGATATGTGGACGAGGAGCTGTTTCTTTCCGCCTCGCAGCGGCCATTGGTTTGGCTTTTTTTTGTGGAATTTCTTTGGCAGCTGGAGATTATTGATGATATTCAGCCGTACATATGGGGAGTATCAGATATGGGGAGTATCAGGAAAACTATTTCGTTTTTGGTCATTGAGTCAGTGCTGCTTTTTTGCAATAGATTGGCGCATATGACTCATATGACCAGTCCTGGGAGATAGTAACAACGACAAACCAATGGTGGCAATCCCATCCAATATTGATTTCCACCATTTCGACCCCCTGAATGATACAACCCACCTGCCAGGTATCACACTCAGCCAACATTGAAGTGGTGGATAGCTAAAAAAAACATGGTGATTTGTATGCGTAATGATCAACAAAGCATAACCCCCAAAAATTCAATCTTATTCACTTATTCGCTGTTTTTGGGACGTTTTGGTTTTGATTCAGTGATCCATAAAGATCCACTTTAGTGCCTTAAAAAGCCCCCATTTCCATAATGCCCCGTAGATCCAGGAAAATCTTAACTGGAAACCCATGGCTTTTTACCATCAAATATAGGGTTTTCCTGTAAATTTCCCCATCATCCGATTAACTATGGTTTATGGCAGATATAACGAACTAGTTAATGGGATTTATAAACCAACAAACATCACTGGGGGGGCACCATCCTGTATGATCTTCCCGAAATGGATTCCTCCGCGAGGACACCCCGGTCACGCCATTGCCATCGCCACCCATCGCA